CCCCCGTCAGCAATCAAGAGAGCCTGGACAGCAGCTCCTCGAGTTTAGGTCCTCTTAATCCTGCAGAGTCCATAAGTGAAACTTTTAGAGCAAGAAATTCCTCTGGGCCAGCAGTACCAAAAGAATGTTTAAAGTCTGTTCCTGTTTCCAACACTGAAGCAAAGGCCCAACTTGAGTCACCCACCTCAATGACGTTCTTTGAGTTTGAAGCCACTGTAGATGTCCAGCAGCACCTCCAGCAGAGCCTCCCCAAGCGTGGCACACCAGGAATAGGCTTAAGTGGGAACGTTACTGGAAGCACTTTTGAGGAGGGTGAATCGTCAGGATCTGGGCGTGCGCCTCGTCTTTCAGCCTCACTGAGTCCAGAGGGCAAGAACACAGACCATCCGCCTGCGTCTTCAAACACAGGTAGGAGAGCCTGGAGTTTTATTCCTGGAAGGGTTTGTGGGTGTGTGGGTGTGTTCTCTTAAGCACTTTCCCAAAATATTAAAGGAGGGTGAGTTCACACAGCTGCCAAAATCTTTATTGTAGCATCTAAGTAAGCACCTCTGATTTGGGGCACTGTCTTTCTGCTAAATGGGCCTGAAAAGGTTCCTGCCTTCAGCCGTCAGCACCCCGACAGGTAACTCCGCGGCACCCAAATGTGGCTGTGGCCCAGTCTGAATGCCTGGGGTTTGCATTTTACCTACTGTCACCACAGAGTGCGTTGGCTGTACTTATAGAGAGTCCCTGTGAGAGACTGGAGCCGGAGATGGGAGCTCGGGTCTCGAGAGAGGAAGACAAGAGGAAGTAACTTTTAAAGCAGTGGAACAGAGCAATTGTGGCTGAAACTCATGCCGTACCAAAGCCAGTGGCAGAAATCCCAGATTGCAATGGGAGCAAAGTTTCAATCCTGCATGTTAAATTATATGTGCTAAACAAATTGCTTTTGAACTCTTTAAGAATTTTAAGATTTTCATACGCACCATCCTTGGAATCCTGCTGGAGTGAGGAGAGTTGTAATCACCCGAACATTAACTTGCAAGATACGCTGCTTACCTGGGAACTTTCAATCCAAGGTTAAGCCATGCACAGAGCATATTTTAAATGATGCTGCATCGTAAGAATATGCTCTTGACAGAGGTTTTGGCAGCCCAGCTGTGGCCGTTCCACCCTGCTCCGAGCAGACAGCCTCTGCTCGAGGAGGAACAGCGGACGTACCATGCGTGGACACCGTCAGGACTGCGCGTCCTTTGCAAGGAGTGGGGAAGCCATTTAATTCATTTAATAAGTGATGATATTTTAGGATAGATGTGTTTGATACGCTGGAGCCTTAATGCCAGGTACTTATATATTAATTATTGTAATGATTAAATACCTCATAAAATGCAAATGTCCAGGTTTTTAAAGATGTTAGAGCAAAGCCACGAAATTTGCATCTGTAATGATTTGAGTGCCTGCAGGTGCTGTTGCACATTAATTCCGAGCCAACTGCTGTCTAGTCAGTTCTGTGTTTTTGTCTACTGGTGTCTGGCTGTAAACATTGAGGCAAGTTTTTACAACTTGATTCAAAGAGTAAGAGTATCTGCTTTCCATCCAGTGGCTTGACGCCTTGGCTCCGTCTGACCACGGAGCAGCCCCCAACAGCATGTGTCTCAAGTCCACGCGCTCCGTTGAGGATCCCATTTCTTATTCCCCAAAACCAATTCTCTTCCCTCAGTTGTGGTCGAGCCCCACAGCCTTGTCTGTGGCACATCGGGCACCCAGCCTGGCAGAGCTGCTGCGGCACTGCCCTGCGGCCTCGCAGGATGCTTCCCGACCGACCGCATCTCCCAAACTCCTCCCTGGCTGCAGAGCAGGGCGGTAACCGCACTGCCCCCCGTCCCACTGCACCGTTTGTGCCTATTTCTCTGCTGAAATAGTGACATCTCGCAACTAGCCGCAACACTGAAGAGCCACAGCCGACTGCAGGTTTCTGCTGGCAGAGGACTGGACAGTGTCCTTCAGAAGAAGAGAGAGAACTGCAATAGTGTTTTGAGGTTTGGCTGTAACACGGTGGGTGTACGCTTAAAGCACCGTTAGCATTCCTGAGTGGGCTCAGGGTCACAGACATTCCTTTTCCTTACGGAACCACAACCACACAAACCAGCATAGTTGGGTTTTTTGTGAATGTTATTTGACTATTTCTGTAACTGACAACACATATCATCAGAAGGGACTGGGAATTCACCTGGGAATGTCTGTGTAGTGGCTGTTTCTGCCAAGATAAATGGCTTATGGCTCAAGCAAGGCCACTGCACGTATTGGTTTACAGCCATTCATCTCTTCACACAGAGCAGGCAGCAACAAAACAAGCAAAAAACCCAAGACAGCAGCACAGGGATCAGTAGAATCCACCTCAGTCCAGCCGCAGCGTTTTAAGATAACAACCAAGCGTGTATGAAGTGACTCGGTGCAAGAAGGTGAATCTCTAGGTGTTGGCCCTAGAATCCTTTTCAACATCCCCCTCTTCAGCGCTAGGAAAGCCACAGGCGAGCAGATGGAGCTTTTCAGCAATCCAAAGAATTAATTTCTCATGCTACATCGAACTAGGTAGATGTGGTATTGCCATAGCAACTGGAGAGAGAACCCAACTAGATCCTGGCAAACCTTTTATTTTTTTTAAAAATATGTATATACTTTTACTTACCTTTTTGTTCTCCCTCACTATCCACCCCTAACTTTTGGTTAATGCTTTTATTTTACAATGAGAGTTCTCCTGCCTGAAGAGATTTTTGTAAAGAAATCTATTTTGCATACTGGAAATCATATTGTACAACACTTTGAGCATATGAAAGGGATGCTCCTCAGTCCTGAGGCAGATCACGAGATCCACGTACAGGCCAACTCTCATCTGTTTTAACAGAGCAGAGTTTGGCACCTGCAGTCACCGTAAAACACACGCCAGAGTAATTGCAAAGTGATGAACGTGTATCAAGTCCATTTGGGGTTGCTTGTGCTTCAGAGCCGGCACTGCAGCTCAGGACTGCGGCCACGGCCGGCGTGGCTGGTCCCACGAGTGTGATCCCATGAGCACACTCGGAGCCAAATCCAAAATCAGCCAGGGTGAAGGCCAACGTCACGCCGAGCCGCCTCCAGCCCTGTGTCACTGTCTGAGAAGGCCCGTAGAATCGCACCAGTGCTTTCCAGACGTGCACCCCACAGTCACGGTCAGTGAGTCAGCCTCGTTGGAACTCATTCTCTCTCATTTAAACTCAAAAAAGTGGCATCTTAAATTTAGCTGCATGGTAGCGTGCAGATTCACAGCCCAGTGAGAAGGAGCGAGCAGGAGGCCGTCCTGCCCCTCTCCAGGCTGGCGCTGCCCGGGCGTGCTGGCTGGCTGGTTGGGAACACAGGTCGAAACCAAAGCTTTGAAGGAAGGGGTTGTGGAAGTTCCGTAACCTCGGAATTACTTTTAGAAGGCAAATGAACACTGTTCTGCATCTCCTTGTATTTCACCGATCCCCTTGTTAGTTCTCGCTGCCCACAAAGCTGTGCTCTTGTCTTTTAGATGTGTCGAAGAAGTGGGAGAAAAAGAGAAGCCGTAACTCTGCTGATATAAAGATTTTCAAAGACTGGCTGGTTTTACATTGCCCTTCTGAAACGCGCGAGATCTATGAGCTGCCACCCGAAGACCTCGACAATTACTTAGCCTCGTTCTACAGTTCTACAAAGAGACAGAACGGCGCAGATTTTTCCGCCAGTTCTTTGCACTTCTTGCAGAGCAACATAGAGAGATACCTCAAGGATCACAACTACGAGTACAGTGTGGTTAAAGGGTTGGAATTCAGAGCGTCTCAGGAAGCCTTGAAACTAAAGCACCGGCAGCTATCCCAAAAACAGAGGGAGGGAGAGTGGAGTATTTTGGAGAACCTGACAGAGGAAGACGTGGAAAGTCTTCGTAGGAGTGGGCTTCTGAGTAAGGCGCACCCTCAGGCCTTCTTGTACCTCATGTTGACAAACATCGTCAGGGGGTTTGGGGCGGGTACACACAGGCAGAGCCATAATCTGTACTGGGGACAGCTTGTGCTAAAGAAGAGCGAGGGAGAGCTGGAGTACTTGGAGTGGAAGGACAATCTGAGTGCAGAGGTAAACACAGAGGAGTTGGGTCCACGTCTCTTTGCCAAGCCTGACAATCCAGAGCACTGTCCGGTCGCGGATTACAAGGACTACGCCAAGAGGAGGCCGTTGGATATGCTTCATGACTACGATCCACTTTATCTAGCTCCCAAGCCTCTGTGCTCCATATGGGACCAAATATGGTACTGCAGGAAGTCTCTGGCAAAAGCCAAACTGGAAAAGATCTTGAAAGTCATTATCCAGCAAGTCAGAGGATCTGTAAAGTCCAAGAAATAAAGGTATCCCTTGAGTTTCTACTGGGCGACTCTCTGACGGGAGTGTTTCCAAGCAGTCTTTGAAAGGTTCAAGCGGTGATACTTAGCGTAGGTTGAGGAGAACATCCTTCTCTGCAGTTTCACCTTACGACATCCACATCTACACGTTTGCATTTCCTCAGCTTTCAGGTTAAGTGAAAAACTTCCATTGTGCTTTCTGTTAATGGGATGGATAGTTCGGTAAGTTCAATAAACGTGAGAATCTTAGGTTTCACATTTGGAAAACACGTTAATATTCTCCTCTATTATTAATGACATGATAAACCAGCAGATGTTAACATGGAGGGGGCTCGGTGGCCCAGCCCCTTGGCAAGTGCACTAGGGAGCACTTGTGAGCAGCGCTTAGTCTACAGCGTAAGCCTGTTGTGAGGAGATAAGTAACACCGGTTGGTTCTGAGCCGGAAGGAGGACGATGAAATGCCACGTTTGCCAACTGCTAATCCATAGCTCTTGGGAACACTTTCAACAAGGTTTATGTCGTTTTTCTTAGCGAGAGATTTATTTGTAGGTTCAAGAAGTTGTGACTGTGTTTCAAAAAGTGATGTGAAATGGCTGGCAGCACTGGGAGGTTTGATGGGAAGTGTCTTCCCCAGAGTGCCGAATACAGAAATACACTTCGGTAGGTGCCGTCAGCGTTTTTCAGCTGTTCAAGTCCCGTTCAGTCAATATCTTGTCTTACAGCCCAGTCGAGTTGTTGGGTTGAACTGTTGATGTGACCCAGTAAAAGGCTGTTTCATTCAGTGCTGTTTGTCTGGTCTGTTTGTCTGCCCAGCACGGACAAAGCCCCGGACCGCAGGCTGGCAGGGCACAGTTTCCTGGAGCACCAGCACATTCTCACCTCGTGCTGAGATTGCTCCTGATCTGAGCCCGCTGTTCCCCAGCGTCGCAGCGCTGACCCCAGCGAGGATTTGGGCTGTTCAAGTCCCACAGAGCCCACACTCGTGGTTTCTTAACGAGGTCTTTGTGGCCAGACCTTTGCCAGAATCTGTCCTGTTCAAGCAACATTTAATATCACCAAATAACTTACAGATGCTTAACGAGCCATAGAAAACAAAGACAAACTCAATCAAATGCTTGAAGGCCATCTTCCAGCTTTCCTCATGCCATCAAACATGGATGGCATTTCAGCTGCCACGGCCGGAGCTGAAGGACCCAGCAGTGCCCAGGTGGAGCCCAGCCGGGCACACAGCTCTGTGGCCAGCAGACGG